GACGTTGTGTGCAGCACACTTGCTGAGGAGGAGTAGGCCGTTGGGATTACACTTGCCGAGTCCATTTCTCCCTATGGTTCCCTGCCAAATGTTAGCATCTCTGCCAACTCTGGTATCGAAGTCGCCAAGGAGCACAACCTTGTCTTCTCTGGGGATAGAGGTTAGCATTCTGTCGAGGTCGGTGTAAAAGTCCTCCTTGATGCCATCCTCTGCATCCAGTGTTGGGGGCGTATGCACTGATGAAAAAGGCATGACGTGTGTAGTTCAGTGGGACTCGAAGCGTCATGAGGCGCTCGTTGATCCTAATAGGCATTTCAGTTAGCCTGTGTAGGATGCGTTGGCGGATGGCAAAGCCAACTCCATAAAAGCAATTTCTCTCCGCAGCAGGCTTACCCTTCCAGAAGAAGGTATTGCCAGACCCCCGTTCTGTGAGTTGGCCCTCATCTGGGAGCCGGAACTCACTAATGGCTGCTATGTCGATGTTATACCTAGCCAGCTCTTTTGCCACAAAGGCAGTTCTTCTTTCAAGACGCTCATTTGTTCCAGTATCCAGTAGGGTCCTAACGACCATAAGAGGTTGTATTTTTTTTTCTGTGATTTTGATTGTTTTCGACCTCATAAGGCTGACATTACTTGGTACGGTTGCCTTGTCAGGTTGGGTTATGTTTATGGCACCTTTTCTAGCCCCCTCCCCATGTGGGGTGAACAGAGTGGCTCCTCGAAAGGGCTGCTCAGTCGTCCAGACAGGACCGGATTGCACTGCTGCCAAGATCCCAGTGCATAAACGACCATCTTATCTGTGCCGCCCATGTGGAGAGTTGTGACTAGAGACTCCCGGCAGTCATCTCTGCCTGTCCCCGTCGCCATAGGACTTTTGGAGGAATAGGGGTTTTGATGATGATGAGAGGTATGATGAGCTGGATTATGACTGCACGTAGGTTGATTTATGTGGTGAGGCAGGAGCGCAGGCTGTAACCACACATCTTGGCTCTCCCTTTTCCTGATCCAGTGGTGCAAGTGTTGCAACGACTGGGGAGAGGGAGAGTTACAGTGGACTGCCGATAGCCCAGTTTGTTTGTTGGGTTTTGCCTTCGAAAGCCTGTCCAACAGGCTTTGCCTTCGTCTGCCGGTGTAGTCGTTTGGTTTCCATGGTGGTCACCTCTTCCGCCTACACCGCCGTTGGGGTCTTGTTGGAGCTCTGTAAGCATGTCTGACTGATGCTGGGCTCCACTGGAGAGTTTTCGTTCGGGGTTTACTCCCGTAGCCTTATACCTACGAAGGTTAATCTGCAAGGCAGCGAGGCAATGGCTGGTAGGCGCCAGAACGTGTCAACATACCAGTGGACCTATACGTCGTCCCTCTGGGGCCCACTGCCACTCCTAGATCCCCTGCTGGTCTAGCCTGGGCCCACGAGGCACCCAGTTACCGTGTGTTACCACGAGGAGGTACAGCAGGTGTCGTGATGGTGAGGAGGCTGTGTACTGACTTCTGCAAGTTGCTTCCCTGTTCGCCACGAGGGCTAGCCAGCGGCGGCAGCTGAAAGCGAGAGGGAGCAAGCAATACCTGCACCCTAACACTAACATAATGCTGCCACACTAGACGCATTTCACCACCCTGTGTGCGACACACACACACACACACACACACACACACACACACACACACATTATATCCTACAATCCATTTTACTGAATTTTATCCAGCAGAATCCCTAGAGGTCTGTCTCACCAGAACCTTCTAATACGAGTCCCTTGTGGGATCTCTTGACCAGGGATGTGTAGGACTTCTCTCTCCCTCGGGCTGGTGATATTGAAATCCTCTGAGACGTCTAGTGGTAGTGGTGGTGGTGGTGGTGGTGATGGTTGTAGTGGTGGTGGTAGTGATGATGGTGGTAATGGTGATGATGATGGTGTCCCTGGTTTAGTCTGGTTGTATAATAAGTTATCCAGATTACTCTCATACTAAACATCACATGTCTACAGTATATCAGGACAGCTCACTCCTACTGCACCAAGATTTCGGTAAATAAGGCAGAAATGTGACTCATAATTACCTCCTATCGGCTACCTGTCGTGACGTCAGAAAGCGAGACATTTTCTCATTGGTTGGCTGATCATGATGTCAGAAAACAAAAGATGCTCTCTTATTGGTTGGGTAGTAATGGCGTCAAAAAGCAAGGGAGTCTTTTGTTGGCTGGTTAATAAAGGTGTAAGGAAAGACTTCTCACAGGAAGATTAGAACTGACACGAAAACAAAAGCCTTCGTTCATTGCTTGGTTACGTCACCCACACAAATAATACGTATTATCTGATTGACGGCGACATCAGAAAACAAATGACACATTGCTTACTTGGTGATGACGTTAGAAAATACATAACACACTGGCTTACCAGCTATGACGTCAGAAACACAAAACACACATTGGCTGACTTGTGCTGACGTCAGAAAACAAATAACACCCATTGGCTGACTGGTGGTGACGTAACAAAACAAATGACACATTGGCTGACTGGTGGTGACGTAACAAAACATATAACACATTGGCTGACTGGTGGTGACGTCAGAAAACAAATAACACACATTGGCTGACTGGTGGTGACGTAACAAAACAAATAACACACATTGGCTGACTGGTGGTGACGTCAGAAAACAAATAACACACATTGGCTGACTGGTGGTGACGTAACAAAACAAATAACACACATTGGCTGACTGGTGGTGACGTCAGAAAACAAATGCCACTCTTAGGTCTGGTGTGTTAAATGAAGAACCGAGATGGCAATGAAAACCTTTAACTCACTCTCAGCGCTAAAACATTATCCTGAGGCAGACATCCGTACGGCAGGTTGACCCGGAATCTCTGTGTTGGAGGATGAATCAGGGCGATAGGCTCTAATGTAGTTACTCCATAAAGAGAGAAAAATAACATGAGGAGCACTAGAGAATTACGAACGTGGTGTATATGTATCTGATTATCCGAGAGAGAGAGAGAGAGAGAGAGAGAGAGAGAGAGAGAGTATCCAAACATTTATAATCGTTCTCAACTCTGGATAGTTTTCTTAATATTTCGGTAATTGGCCAATATTTACGCCTCCTTCCCTATTATGAGGTGGAGGGGGGTGGGGGTGAAGTGAGTCGGGGGATTAAGGAACTGTCGGGAGGGATAGGGTGAAGGTGAGGGAAGGAAGAGGAGTGAGAGGTGGAAGGAGGAGAGTGTAGGAAGAGGGATGGGGGCTGAGAGGATGAGGGTGGGAAAGTGTGAGACGTGGGGGCTGAAGGAGAGGGGGGGGATGAGGGAGGGGTGAGGGAAGGTTAAGGGGAGTGGGTGAGGGGCTAGAAGGGGTAAGGGAGACGATGAGACGTGGAGGGTGACGGAAGAGAATGAGGAGGGTAAAAGGTGGGGGGAGGGGTGAGGGAGAGGGAGGGTAATAAGCTGTCAAGTTTATAATTGGGGATTAAACTCTCAAGTCGACTTTACTCCGTTTAAAAGTTCCATGTTTGTGTATCATCAATCACCTGACCTACTGTACTGTTGTGGTGGTGTGGTGTGTAGTGGTGGTGGTGTGTGGTGGTGGTGTGTGGTGGTGTGTGGTGGTGTGGTGGTGATGTGGTGATTGGTTGTTGGGTTGGTGTGTGGTGGTGGTGTGTGGTGGTGTGTGGTGGTGTGGTGGTTGTGTGTGGTGGTGTGTGTGTGGTGGTGGTGTGTAGTGGTGATGTGTAGTGGTGGTGATGTGTAGTGGTGATGTGTGGTGGTGATGGTGTGTGGTGGTGATGTGTAGTGGTGATGTGTGGTGGTGATGGTGTGTAGTGGTGATGTGTGGTGGTGATGTGTAGTGGTGATGGTGTGGAGGTGTGGATGGTGTGTAGTGGTGATGGTGTGTGGTGGTGGATGTAGTGGTGTGGGGTGATGTGGTGGTGTGTGTGTGTGGTGGTGTGATGGTGTGTAGTGGTGATGTGTAGTGGTGATGTGCTGTAGTGGTGTGGTGGTGGTGGTGTGTGTGGTGGTGGTGTGGTGGTGATGGTGTGTAGTGGTGATGGTGTGTGGTGGTGATGTGTGTAGGTGGTGCTGGTGTGTGGTGGTGGCTGGTGTGTGGTGGTGAGTGGTGTGGAGGGTGATGGTAGGGTGATGTGGTGTTGTGTAGTGGTGATGGTGGCCGGTGCTGTGTGTGTAGGGTGATGTGTAGTGGTGATGGTGTGTAGTGGTGATGTGTAGTGGTGATGTGTAGTGGTGATGGTGGTGGGTGCTGTGTGTGTAGTGGTGCTGGTGTAGTGTGCTGGTGTGTAGTGGTGATGATGTGTAGTGGTGATGTAGTGGTGATGTGTAGTGGTGCTTGTGTGTAGTGGTGATGGTGGAGGTGGTGATGGGTGTGGTGGTAGTGGTGATGGTGTGGTGTGGTGGTGGATCGCGTGGTGTAGTGGTGTGGGTGGTGTGGTGGTGATCGCGGTGTGGTGGTGTGGGTGGTGATGGTGTGGAGGTGTGTAATGGTGGTGGTGGTTTTTGTGGTTGATGGTGGTTGGGTATGGTGGGAGTAAGTGATTGATGGTAATGGTAGTGGTTGATGATGGCTGCAGTGGTTGATGATGGTTGCAGTGGTTGATGGTAGTAATAGTGGTTGATGATGGTTGCAGTGGTTAATGGTAGGTAGCAGTGGTTGATGGTGGTAGTAGTGGCTGATGGTAGCAGTAGTGGTTGATGGTGGTGGTCATGGGTGTGCAGTAGTGGCTGATGGTAGTAGTGGTTGATGGTAGTAGTATTGCATGACAGCAGTGGTTGATGGTGAGTAGCGGCTGAGGTGCAGTGGTTGATGGCGGTAGTGGTGTTGATGGTAGTATGAGTGGTGTAGGTAGCAGTGACTGACGGTGGTAGTGAGTTACTTGGTGGTGCAGAGGCTGATGGTAGTGATGGGCAGTATTGATGCAGTAGTGGTTGATGGTGGCAGCAGTGGTTGATGGTAGCAGTGGCTGGAAGATAGAAGTAGTGATGATGGTGGCAGAAGCTATTATGGCGGCTGGGATGGTGAGCAGTAGTGGCTGATGGTGGTAGTGGTTGACGGTGTGGCTGGGATGGTAGTAGTGGCTGATGAAGGCGATGGCAGCAAGAAAGTGGTCGAATGACGCAGCAGTGGTCGATTGGTAGTGAAGGTGGTCTGAAGGTGATGGCAGTAGTGGTTGATGGCAGAAGTGAGCGGACAGTGTAGCGGCTGATGGCAGCAGTAGCGGTGATGCGGCAGTGGTCGAGGCAGTGGATTGGCTGCAGCAGTGAAGCTGATGGTGGGCAGTAGTGGTTGACGGAGAAAGAAGTGGTCGATGGTGGCAGTAGATTGTGCAGGTAGCAGTGGATGACGGCAGCAGTGAGGCCGGGAGGTGGCAGTAGTGTTGATGGGGTGGTAGAGGGCAGTGGCTGATGGTAGTAGGGTTGATGGTGGTAGCAGGTTGATGGTGGCAGTAGTTACTTGCGGTAGTAGAAGGTCGATGGGTGCAGCGTGGCTGATGAGCAGTGGAGAAGGGGCCAGATGGTTAAGTGGCTGATGGCAGCAGTGGCTGATGGTGGTAGTAGGGCTGGTTGTGGGGTAGCAGCGTGTTGACGCGATGGGTAGCAGTGGTTGGATGATGGCAGTGGCTGATGGTGGCAGGTGGCTGATGGTGGTAGCAGGTTGATGACGGTAGTAGGGCGGTTGCAGGCTAGTAGGGTAGTGGCTGATGGCAGCGGCTGAGCAAGGTGCAGCAGTAGTGGCTGATGGCAGCAGCAGCATGATGGCAGGCAGGTGGCTGATGGTGGCAGCAGTGGCTGACGGAGGCAGCAGTGGCTGATGGTGGCGGTGATGGGTGCAGTGGCTGATGGTGGTAGTGGTTGATGGTGGTAGAAGTGGTTGATGGGTAGTATTGATGGTAGCAGTGGTTGATGGTGAATGATAGCAGTGGCTGATGGAGGCAGTAGTGGCTGATGTGGTGGTAGTAGTGGCTGATGGTATGTGTTGCCGATGGTGGCAGTAGTGGCTGATGGTGGTGGCTGATGGTGGCAGTGGCTGATAGGCAGCAGTGGCTGATGGTGGTAGTAGTGGTTGATGGTGGTAGCAGGCTGATGGTGGCAGCAGTGCTGATGGTGGTAGGTTGATGGAGATAGCAGCATGATGGAGGAGAGGGTTGATGGAGGTAGAGGTGGTAGTGGTTGATGGTGAAGCAGTGGTTGATGATGCAGTGGTGGCTGATGGTGGTAGTGGCTGATGGGTGGGTGGCTGCAGTGTGGGTTGATGGATGCAGTAGTGGCTGATGGCGGCAGTAGGGCCGATGCAGGTAGGTGCTGCTGATGCGGCAGGTGGCTGGATGATGGAGAGGTGATGGTGGTGGTGGTTGATGGAGTGGTAGGTGGCTGATGGTGGTGTTAGTGCTGATGGAGGCGTAGTGGTTGATGGAGATAGCAGTGGCTGATGGAGGTAGTAGTGGCTGATGCAGGTAGCAGTGGTTGATGGAGGTAGTAGTGGCGATGGTGGTAGTGGCTGGATGGTGGTAGCAAAGGTTGAGGTAGAGTGGCTGAAGATGGTAGTAGTGACATGGATGGTAGCAGTGGTTGATGGTGAAGACGGGTGGTGGGCAGTTTTGTGGGTGTATGATGGTTGCAGGTTGGTAGCAGTGGTTGATGGAACAGTAGTGGGTTGATGGCGGTGTGTAGTGGCTGATGGTGGTAGCAGTGGTTGATGGATGTAGCAGTGGCTGATGGTGTGCAGTGGCTGATGGATGTAGGGTAGTGGCGGGATGGTGGCAGTGGTTGATGGTGGCAGTAGTGGCTGATGGCAGCAGTGGCTGATGGTGAGCAGGGTTGATGGTGGCAGGCGGTTGATGGGTAGCGCAAAGGCCGATGCAGAAGAGCAGTGGTTGATGGTGGCAGTAGTGGAGCGAGGTGGCAGGGGGTAGCGTAAGGAGGGTGGAGGTGGTGGCTGATGCTGGCAGGTGGTTGATGGTAGTAGTGGTTGATGGTAGTAGGGCTGATGCAGTAGTGGCTGATGGGTGGCAGTTTGGCGTGCAGCAGTGGCTGAAGGTGTGGCAGTGGTTGATGGACAGCAGTGGCTGATGGCAGGCAGGGTTGATGATATGAGCAGTTGGCGGAGATGGCAGTAGTAGCCGATGGTGAAAAAGTGGCGGTCGATGGTGGCAGTAGTGGCTGATGCTGGTGGCAGATTGAGTGGTGTATGGTTGATGGCAGCAGCGATGGGAGTAGTGGTGGCTGATGGCAGTGGCTGATGGTGGCAGGTGGCTGACGGTGGCAGGTTGATGGCAGCAGTGGCTGATGGTGGTAGCAGGTTGATGGCAGTAGTGGCTGATGGTGGCAGGTGGCTGATGGTGGCAGCAGTGGCCGATGAGGCAGTTATGGTTGATGGTGGTAGTGGTGGCTGATGGCAGTAGGCTGATGGAGCAGTGGGTTGATGGCTGATGGAAGTAGTAGGTGATGGGGAAGCAGTGGCTGATGCAGTGGTTGATGGCGGTAGTAGTCTTGATGGTGGCAGGCTGATGGAGTGTAGTGGTTGATGGTAGCAGTGGTTGATGGTGGGTGTTGGCGGTTGGGATGGTGTAGTAGTGTGACGGCAGATGTTAAGTGGCTGATGGTGGCAGCAGTGGCTGATGGCGGTAGTGCTGATGGCAGTGGTTGATGGCAGCAGCAGTGGCTGAGATTGGGCAGGCAGTGGCTGATGGCGGCAGCAGGGTTGATGGTGGCAGTAGTGTGGCTGAGTGGCAGTAGTGGCTGATGGTGGCACGTAGTTGGCGCGGTTGCAGTGGTGGCCGATGGTTGCAGCAGTGGCTGATGGCAGCAGCGGCTGATGCGGCAACAGTAGTGGCCGATGGCAGCAGTGGCTGATGGTGGTAGTAGGGTCCGATGCGGCAGCAGCCGACGGTGTGATGGCGGCAGTGGCTGATGGCGGCAGCAGTGGCTGATGGCAGTGCATGGCTGATGGTAGTAGTACAGGCGGTGGCAGTGGGCCGATGGTAGCAGTAGTGGCTGATGGTGGCAGCAGTGGCTGATGGTAGTAGTGGTTGATGGGTGGTAGCAGTACGATGGTGGCAGTAGTGGCTGATGGCAGTAGTGGTGAGGTGGAGCGTGCTTGATGGTGGTAGCAGTGGCTGACGGTGGCAGTTGGCGGTCGATGCGGCAGTAGTGGCCGATGGTGGTAGCAGTGGCTGATGGTGGCAGCAGTGGCTGATGCGGTAGTAGTGGCTGATGGTGATAGAGTGGCTGATGGTGGTAGCAGTGGCTGATGGTGGCAGTAGTGGCTGATGGTGCAGAAGGAGTGGTTGATGGTGGTAGAGTGGTTGATGGTGGTAGTAGTGCTGATGGAGGCAGGTTGACGGGGCAGTAGTGGCTGATGGTGGCAGCAGTGGTTGATGGAGGCAGTAGTGGCTGATGGTGGCAGTGGCTGATGGTGGCAGTAGTGGCTGATGGTAGCAAAGGCTGATGGCAGTAGTTGGTGGTTGATGATGGCAGTAGTGGTTGATGGAGGTAGCAGTGGTTGATGGTGGCAGTAGTGGTGATGGTGGTAGCAGTGGCTGATGCGTGATAAGGTTGATGGTGGTAAGGCGGCTGATGGTGCAGCAGTGGTTGATGGTGGTAGCAGTGGCTGATGATGTGTAAGAGTGGTTGATGGTGGTAGTAGTGGTTGATGGTGGTATAGGGTTGATGGTGGTAGTAGTGGCTGGAAGATAGTAGTGGCTGATGGTGGTGTTGGCGTGGCTGATGGTGGCAGTAGTGGTTGATGATGTAGTAGTGGTTGATGGTGGCAGTAGTTGATGGTGGTGGTAGCAGTGGTTGATGGTGGTAGCAGGTTGAGTAGCAGTGGTTGATGGGGTACAGCAGTGGCTGATGGTGGTAGCGGTGTGGTTGATGGGTGTAGCAGTGGTTGATGGTGGTAGCAGTGGTTGATGGAGTGTAGCAGTGGTTGATGGTGGTAGCAGTGGTTGATGGATAGTAGTAGTGGTTGATGGTGGTGCAGTGGGTTGGTGGTGGTAGTAGTGGTTGATGGTGGTAGTAGTGGTTGATGTAGGTGGTAGCAGTGGTTGATGGCATTGGTAGCAGTGGTTGGTCAGGTGGATTTGGTAAGTGGTAGTAGTGGTTGATGGTGGTAGTAGTGGTTGATGGAAATGGTAGTGGTTAGTGTAATTGGTAGTAGTGGTTGATTAGAGCAAGTAGTGGTTGATGGGTGGTAGTGGTGGTTGGTCGTTGGTAGCAGTGGTTGATGGTGGTAGCAGTGGTTGATGTGGTGCAGTGGTTGGTCGTTAGCAGTGGTTGATGGTAGTGGCAGTGGTTGATGGTGGTAGCAGTGGTTGATGGTGGTAGTGGTGGTTGATGGTGTGCCAGTCGGATTTGATGGTGGTGGTTGGTCATGAGTAGTAGTGGTTGGTGCGTGGTATAAGGTTGGTCGTAGTAGTAGTGGTTAAAGATGTTAGTAGTGGTTGATGGTAGTAGCAGTGGTTGATGGGTAGTAGTAGTGGTTGAAGATGGTAGTAGTGGTTGATGGTGGTTTGTAGTTACTTATGGTGGTAGTAGTGGTTGATGGTTCTAGCAGTGGTTGGTGGTATGATGGTTGATGGTAGTGGTTGATGAGTGTGTTGTGAGTGGTTGATGGTGGTAGTGGTGGTTGATGGTGGTAGCAGCAGTTGATGGAGTAGCAGTGGTTGATGGTGATGGCAGTGGTTGATGGAGTGGTAATGGTTGATGGTGGTAGTAGTGGTTGATGGTGGTATAAGGTTGATGGGTGGTAGTAGTGGTTGATGGTGTGGCAGTGGACAGTGGTGGTTTATGAAGTTGGTTGTGGGTGATATGATGTGATGCGTGGTAGTGGTTGATGAGTGGTAGTAGTGGTTGATGGTGGTATAAGGTTGATGGTGGTAGTAGTGGTTGATGGTGGTAGCAATCGGTTGATGGGTGGTATTAGTGGTTGATGGTGCAGTGGTTGATAGGTGGTAGCAGTAGTTGATGGTGGTAGTAGTGGTTGATGGTGATAGCAGTGGTTGATCAAATTAGCAGTGGTTGATGGAGGTAGTAGTGGTTGATGGTGGTATGATAGTTGATGGTGATAGCGGTTGGTCGATAGTAGTCAGTTGATGCGTGTAGCAGTGGTTGGTCTCGATAGTAGTAGTTGTCATTGTGTAGTTAGTTGATGGTGTAGTGGTTGATGGTGGTTGTGGTTGATGGTGGTGGTGGTGGTTGGTGGTGAACAGGTTGTTGGTGGTAATTTGGTAGGTGGTAGTGGTAGTGGTTGATGGTGGTGGTGGTGGTTGATGGTGGTGAAAGTAGTGGTTGGTGGTGTGGAGTGGTTGATGGTGGTGGTAGTGGTTGGTGGTGGTGGTAGTGATTTGATGGAAGTGGTATTGGTTGATGGTGGTTGCAGTGGTTGATGGGATTGGTAGTGGTTGATGGTGGTAAGTGTGGTGGTTGATGGTGTTGGCAGTGGTTGATGGTGGTAGTGAGTGGTTGATGATGGTAGTAGTGGTTGATGGGTGGCGTGTTGATGGTAGTGGTAAGTGGTTGATAGATTGTAGTGGTTGGTGGTGGTTGTAGTTGTTGGGTGGTGGTATTAGTGGTTGTTGGATTCATGTGGTTGGTGGTAGTTGTTTAGTGGGGTGATAGTGTGGTTGATGAGTCAGTGGTTGATGGTGGTAGTAGTGGTTGATGGTGGTGGAGTGGGTGGGTGGTTGATGGTGGTAGCAGTGGTTGATGGGTGGTGTGGTTGGAGTGTGGTGGTGGTGTGGTTGGTGGGTGGTG